GTTTCACGGTAAATGAACAAGTTTGGTTTTGTCATGCTACGTGATATTTCCCGTCACATGTATTGCCCTAATACATTGCTAGATGTCAATCTGGGACAACGAAAGTGAATTAGTGATAAATTAAAAGGGGCGTTTTCATTTATCAATTTTGATTAGATCAAAATAATAATTCATATTGTTCGGCATCGTAATCGGGAACCTAATGGGTCACACACAAAAGAGAATCAGAAGAATGAGATTTACCAATTAATTAATTGACAAGTGTTGGATGATTAATTAATTAGGTTGTTTATTAATAGGTCCGAATTAATTAATTTGATTAATTAATTCATGGACCAGATTTAATTAATTTGATTAATTAAATATTGGACCGGGTTAAGTTTAATAGATGGGCCGAGCCCATCTGGACTTATATTAATAAACTACTAGGGTTTGAAAACAGTATGGATTTTTATTATTCTTGCTAGCACAAGAAAAGAAAACCCTAGCCGTCATTCATGTTCTNNNNTAGGGTTTGAAAACAATATGGAATTTTCATTATTCTTGCTAGCACAAGAAAAGAAAACCTTAGCCGTCATTCTTGTTCTCTGTGTGGATCACCATTGGAGGCTGGACAATTGGACAGTTTGGATTGCAGATCGTGATCATTGGAGTTCAAGAAAAAGTAAAAGAGTTTGTGAAATTTATTAGAGGTATCATTCTCATCACAGTTTCTATCTAAACACATTGCAGATCCTCGTTTGGGAATTGAAAATTGTTTTATTTCCGTTTTGCATGATTAAGTAAATTCCCAACAGGGACCACACCACGGTTTGTGTGAAGATTATTTTTTTTACAAGTAAAAAATGGTTAGTTTCTCTAAAATTGAAATGGAGTCAAAAGCTACAAAATTTGAGTCGATTCATACGGATGTACAGAAACCTTCAACTTTTACATTCCTTGGAGGTTCCAATTATTATTTGATATTTATTAATGACCCAAGCATGAAGGCATAAGTTTATTTCCTAAATTATAAATTTGATGTCTTCAATATCTTCAAAAGATGGAAAGCGGTGCTTGAAAATGAACTAGATTTGAAGTTGAAGTATCTGTAGTCAAGTAATTTGAAAAATATGTAGACAGTTATTTTAGTAAGTATTGTGTTGACATGTAATCAAGATAAAGAAGACCATTTTAGGAATATCTCAAAAAAAATAGTGGGACTGAGAAGAT